GATTTCCAGGCTGAGCTTGGAGGTCACAGCCACTCTATCATTTCTCAGCATTATCCCTTCCCTTTCTCTCGCTCTCTCTCGGAGCCTCCAACTGGCACACAGCAGATTGAAAACAGCATGCATCACAGGGCTCACGCTGCACAATTTTAGAGCCTTTTGGAGCCCCCTTCCTTTCCTTTTGGCCCACTTTTTTTTTTTTTTGGCAATTTGCAAACAAGTTTTGTTTGTGCCCTACAGACCTGCAAGCCAAAGGCACTGGAACACCTACAAATATGAGGAAGCAATAAACACATGGGAGAACAGAGCCGATCTTGACAGCTGACAGTAAGATGGTTATGCTTGATGTTACCGGTAGATATGGCAGGCTCTCTAATTCCACAATTGCCACAAAATAAATACTGTGTCCCCTTAGATCTCATCAGACATTCTGCTTGTGTACACAAGATCCAAAAACAACACCAGGATTTCAAGAGTAGTGGATCTAGCAAGCCTCTAGCCACACACAAAAACCTCATTTAAAATGCACAAAAATATCTTGTTAACCATAGACATGACTTATTGGAAAAAAACCACCCTATCATCCAGCACTGCATGGCTTTGTGATTCCTCGCTCTATAAGACATAAAAGAAGAGGCCAAGCCAAGGATAAACTTTGGGAAGTCAGAAAGTCTGCACTGAGAAGAAAGAAAACGTAGACCCAGAGCTTGATTCATTAACACAACAGCCACTGGTTCCACACCATCTATTTTATTCTTCGAGCATGTACCTCACTGAGCTGACAATGGTATTATTTATTGGTCTGGTTATTTTTAATCTGTGCTGCATTACTGTTAGGGTAAAAACAAGACACTACTGTCAATTCCAGGAATCTTTTCTGACATGATAAAGGACATGGACAGCATGCTGGAGGACACTAACAAATAGAAAGGACACATTTTTATCAAGCTCTTGCTGTCACCTAAATGAGACTGTTTTTTCCCTGCATTCCTTACCTAAATTCCTCCTAGCTGTTTTGCAACACCTAAGATGTGCTGTTCAATTTTGACCCGTTACCTTTGCTCAGCCATGGCACGTGCTGAGCTCATCCTCCTCCACTGGAATACTCTCTGTCTTTTTTCTCGTATAACCAGTCACACACTGGCGGTGTTATACAGAGGTGACTACAAGCTGTTAGCTTGACCTCTTAAACAAGTACGGACCTAATTGCCCAGCTACAACCAAGATTATTCATCAGAGCCCATTGCTTGATGGACAGATTACTGCTTTGGAGACTCCCACTGAACCCCAGGACAGGATCTGGCCATGGATGAGACGCCCCAACGCTTACCAGCTCTCGTTGCTAACCTGACTCCGGTTTAGGGTTGTGAAAGGAAACGATAGTTGTGTGCTGGAATAGGAGCTGGTCACCTCAGTCTGCTCGCTGCTGCTGAAGATGGAAGAAATACCAGTGTGATAGTGAGGACACTGCAAGGCAAACCGTGGGATCTCAGCTGAGGGGGTGTCTGTTACGGACGTCGTGTATGAATGGTTGTTGGGTGTTACTGCGCTGGGGTCCTCCCACCAGAAAAACAGCACTACAAATATTCTCCTATTTCAGGAAGCCACCCTGAGAACAAAGCTGCCTGCAACTGAGTGGCACACAGATACCCTTGAGAAAAAAAAAAAACAACCCACACACAAGTACCTACATTATCAGAAACACGATGCTGCAGGGCCCGGTACAGTACCTTGCTTTTGGGTGGAGGGCTGTTTGTGCTCTTGTCTGTGTGGATGCTGGTAGGGGATACGGCAGCACCAAGGTTACCCTGGGGTATGCCAGGTATCTTGCCTCCCGGAGACACTTGCATCGCAGCAAGCTGGGCAGCATACAACTGCTGTAAACACAAGCAAACAAAAAATGGGGGGAGAGAGAGGAGAGACATCATCAATAAGCAAGCAATTTTTCCATAACTTCTCCTGCTGCAGATGATACGTTTTCCTTCTGATCGGTATTTTTTATTTAGCACACTGGTATATTTCAAGACAAGAATTGTCATCTCAACTTTTGTGACTCATTCCTCAGGGGACGAATGACAGACGTCACCATGAGAAATGTCCTAGTTCCCTGTGTGTCCAGGGATTCAAAACAAGGAACAAAAGCTAATCTTCATGGTTTGCATGAGCCACTGAGCAACCTTTCCTTTCCTGAGACGACTTCAGCATAACAGCATCTCCACTGATAATATGCATCGACCCCTGTGAAATCCACATGATGTTTGATAGGATGATCTCTGTGCTACCATTTTACGTTTCTCTGTATTACTTGCTGTGTTTGCCTTGTTTGCACAGACTGTAAGGTGTCTGGGAGAGGGAATGTCAAAACTGTGTTTAGCACTTACTATGACAGTCCACTCCCAGTTGGATCCTAGGGAACTGCTACAGTCAGTATAAATATATATGTCTCGATGGTAATGTACTGTCCATTAGCACCTACAAGCTCCAATCAAGACCAAGAACCTTTTCAGTGATAGACGCAAAGCAGAAACACAGTGGGAATGTTCTTCTCTTCAAAACTAAACCAGCAAGGCACTTTAAACACAAATTTGATTATTAGCATGTGAATACTTATAATCACAGCCATCTGTTTAAAGTTAAGCCCTATAGTAAACATTTAATGGACAGAGGTCAAAAGCAGAGAGAAAACAGGCAAACTGGCAGTGCTTGGAAGCTCCTCTGACCTCCAAATAAAAAGTGGAGAAAATAAACACGGTGGGCAGCAGCAGAAGCAATTGTTGCTGCTTTGTGAACAGAGAGGAATTCAGGTGAAGCCAAATAGAAGTCAGATGAGCAGGTAATGTAGTAACGACGGCTTTCCCTCCGCAGTCACAAGATCAGTTTCAAAGACTCATGCTATGTAATTATTTGTGCTGTGCAGTACCTGGGTAATGTGTAACACTGAACGACGGTGCTCTCTGCTTGCAGGTGCTAACAGAGCTTCTGAGATGAAACGTGACAAGGGATAACACGCAAGAACATGGACATGGATGTGAAAAAACACGGGAGCTTCAATATGACTAGTCTAAGAAGCCTTGTTAGTGGTGCTTAGTTGTTTTGCTGTTGTTTTTTATTTAATTGTATATGCTGATAGAAGAACAAAGGTCAGATTGGAGGGCACAAAGAAATGCTAACCCAAACCAGCAAGTTTGAAAGAGGAAAATGAGGATTCACTACAGGAGTATTCCATATGGAGCTGTGTAAAAGGTAGAGAGACACTGCTAACGTGAGTTCACAGTACACAAGCCCTGTAGCAAACACTTAACTTGACCAAATGGGCAAGATTTACTGCTCTGAGTCACGGACAACCCTGGACATTGGCCTGTGGTTCTCTGTACAAACTCTTCCCTTCACTGGTGCACAATCTTAGCCCTTTCACATAATTAAAAGTAACCCATTTCTGCTTTTTCAGGTGTAATCAGGCACCAAGTTCTTACTTATTTCTTTTTCACTCTTCCTATTCTTTTCAGTGTTGAATCCTTTTTATTTCTTTTCTCTACTTTGATCACTGCTTGTTCCTTATTTTTCTATACTTCTTAAATCATCATTTATCCATCCCTATCTGTTTAATGTCCTTTTTTTATCATCCATCCATTCATCCGTTCTCTCCTTGTCTCTTCCTCCAATTTATTTATTCACTTAATTCTATGTGTTACCCTCAGCGAGTCTGAGTCAAATAGATGCAAATCAACTACAGATAAAAGTCATCAAAACTGATCCAGCCACAGATCAGTCACAGATTCAAATGCATGTATTTATCAGTTGAAGTTCATATCCATTCATTCTTTCAAAAGAAGACCAAATCCAGCAGGGAGAAAGGAACAAGGATCTGCGTGAACTACAGAACTGTAGCAGGCAGTTCAAGGAGAACCACGCCAGCTTTATGTATTAATTAATATATCTGAAGGGCAAGAGCTGTTTAAGAAATAGGATACATGGCTAGGGAACAACTCAAACAATCAGACTCTGGTGATGACAGAGCACATCTAGGGAAAGCTTTTCCTTTCCTTTTGCTCCCTATTGAAAAAAATGACAAAACAAATTGAGGCAACGATGGGAAAAAGGCAAAAGAAAGTAAAGCAGTCATTGAGCAGGAAAGGTTCAAGTTTGCTGCTAATCTATAGATTAGATACCAGAGAATACGTCTAGTCCACAAGTAAAGGTAAAAATAACACAGTCAGTTTGGACACTTAGCAGTCCTGAAACAACTGGAGGTCATTGACAGGCCCTACAGGGACCAGCCTGTGGAGGAGCGAACCTCCCAGAAATGTCCATGAGTCTTTGGGGAAGACTTTTCAAACAAAGTCCTTACCCTGAAAAGAGCAGGAAATCTCTACCTCAAACATAGCTCTCAACCTTCTGTTGAGGTCCAAAGAGTGAATCACAAGAACTAGACTATACGACATACATCCACGACATGGTGTCCAAGAATCTGTATCATCTTACACCTGTCCAGTGGCCACTGAGAAATGTGTTGGAAGCTGTGGTTCCTCTGTACAGTATTGCCATCAACCACCTTTTTGAAAACCCACCCATGCATGCAAAGCAGACGATGACTGAATAAACATGGGGAATGAATTTCCCTATGCAACAGCCCAGAAGAAAGCCGTATTTTTGGGTGATAAATGGAATACATGCAATTTCAAATACACACCTTATTCTCAGTTTAGGGACAGATATACCTCAAGAGTGTGAAGCATACAGTACTGGAAGGAGGGGTGGATGAAAAGCTATAAAGCCTTCATTCATGCTTTGTACAAACTTATGTCCTCCTGCTATCAGATTCAACATCTCACCTCTATTTAATTCATTTTGAGAATTAAAAACAAACATTAAATAAAATCTTGTAAGAGGACCCTTGTTAGAGTACTCTCTTAAAAAGTTGGTTCCTGCAACACAAACCAACTATTCTACTGAAAAGCAACATCAGGCCCAGCTCTGAAGTGAGAAACATGCAGCTTATGAAATGGCAAGGGCATGAATCCTATTTAACTAGTAAGACTGCTCCTATATTCCCCTCCATTTCAAAAAATGGACAGAAATCTACAACATGCAGTACATTTCTTAGACTGTCAATATTTTTGAGTTTTGCCAATACCGAACTTGTCGGTTCATATTTAGTTGTTTTAGGACATGATGACCTTTAGCTTATACCCAAGGAAAGGGCAATGGTGTGACCAAGCACTGTGAATCAAGGTGGCTAAACGACCACAATTTGTGCATCCATTTCATAGACAAGCTGAACTCAAACAAAAGAACATTTCTACCCCTGCTTCCCCAGTAGAGTTTCAGATTTTGGAACAGTGTATAAATAGGTCTCTGTTGAAATATTCAACCATCATCTAAAATGCACCCATATACTTCTCACAGGAATGAAACCAAGATGTCAAAAAAGGGCAATGAAAGTTATGTTATTCTGTATAACTGCTGTAATATACTGTTCTTGAGCCTCTTAATTTGTACGCCAAGCAGGGACTTCCTGAGCTACTTCCACTACCTTCAGCTAACCTAAAGTCTCAATCTCAAATTCTAGCACTCAAGGATGGCATTTTGCTGGACTACAACTCATACAGGACTTGCAATCTATAGGGTCTCGACTGGTTTATTGTGACCAAGGCATTCAGTGGAAATCAGTGAAGCACTGCTGCTTTAGACAAGTTTATTTTTGCTACACATAATAAATAAAGATAATACTCTGAATTTAATAAGATAGATAATGCTTCTTCAGGAAGACAGAACTGGGCTTCTGAAAAAGTAATTAAAAAGTAACATCTATTGTTTGTTTATAACTAAATAACTATGTTTCAGCTTCCCTGCCCATGCGCAATATTGCATGCCTTGTTAATGTTTTCTCATGAACCTCTTACAAAAATCTGTATAGAAGCAAAATCCAAACAAAAGCGCAATATAATGCACTTTAAAATGAGCAGGAGGTATAGTTATTCTTATAATGTTGCCCCTCTGTTCTTAAGCTATTAAACAAAAATTTCCCCTTCTCCCTAGGTCACCACCTAAACCATTTATAATTCTTCCAATATATTAAGCAGAAATATTCAGCTGAACTCTCCAAATGGACTAGCTCTAACAGCTCTTGGCTTGATGACTCTGTAGAACATCAATAGCAAAGCCTTAAGGTTACACCGGCTTTGAAAACTTTCCCCTTGGGCATTGTTGTTACATGTTAACAATGCTCATTACTGCTTTGAGGGTACACTAAAAATGAATTCTTGTTCTATTAATACAGAAAATGAGAATGAGATTTAATAGCAATTTTAAAAAGGGTTGAACAAAGTGTTAGCAATTACATAGGCAGAGATCGTTGATTCAAGCACCTACAGGCATTTGGATTACGGCATTATCTCTTATTAAAGTATTTTTACTAGTGAACAGTAGAGATTAAGAGCTGTTATTAAAAAAAACACAGAGAGATTGAGACAGGTGGTACTGGAAACTGAATCAGTTACTGCAATAAATTTGTTACTGATATAAACTAGTTCTTCAGTGGAGTTACCACAGCAATGACTTTACAAACCACTGTGCTTACATGTTTGAACTGTTGACTGATTCGACACGTCAATTTCTTTGTCATTCTGAGACCTCTAATTAAAAATATACACATGAATGGCCCTGTTCTTTGATTTTTGCATAATCCGGGGGAAAATGTGGTATAAATTGACATTCTCTCATTCAGAATACATTAATTTAATTTTCTTTACCTCAAATTTTATGCTTATATAAGGCATGCAAAGCGGTTACAGCAGAAAGAGTTAAATTGATCTGTTCAGGTGGGGCTTTTTATTTAAAAAAAAAGGTCACAAAGAATTTGAAAGAAAAAGGAATT